GTGAACCTTGGCCCGAGGGCGAACCCGAGCCCGAACCTGAAGGTGAGCCTGAACAAGGAGGTCTTTAACAATGCACATTCTATAAAGCATTTGTAAAGGGCCTTAAAATATGCGTAAATGTTCTTTATTTGAAATATAACATTATTAATAGAGAAGACATGGCCATTTGCGCATTTTAATACAGAAATGGGTCAAAATGCATACATGATATATCTTGTGTTTATGAATTAATTGCAGCTAGACGATGTCTTGTTGCAGTATGCACACGTAAGACGACCAGCAAGTTGATATTATTTTTTCTACCAATTGAAATGTCCATGCATTTATATATGACATCCACCAGATAGTAAAGGGACTTTTAAAATGATCTTTTTTTTAATTTAAACTATAACATTGATACAAAAGCTATGCCTATTTGCGCATTTTAGTACAGAAATGGGTAAAATGGAATACTGGAATACATAAGATATTGTGTGTACATGTCAAGCTACATGAATATGTTTGGAGGGAATTGTTTCTTCTTGTACTCTCCATTTCAGCGATCCTAGCACTGTAGTATATGTAAACATTCATGCAACAGATAGGGAGAGTGTTAGGAGGCGTGCTGTATTAAATAAATTAATAAATAATTTTCTAATACGATAAATTACAGCCTTGTATGGCTAAATTGCGTTTTCAAAACATGATAAACAGTCAGTATAGATATTTAACGTTTTGTTAATTTTAAATACAGAAAGAGTTTATTAAAAAGAACAAAAGTTTCTTGAGCATTTTAGCCATTGAATGAAAGATATTTATTGTACGTTTGTGTACATGTCATGAATAAACAGAGAGAAAGAATACAGTAATGACACTTACATACCACACTAATGTGATCTACTATTTACAGGTTCAACTTCTTCTCGCTTCTTGGCGCAGTTAAAAACGTATTTAGCTAATAATATATGATTTGTCAAGTTCCATGAGGAATTCGAATTTTTCTATTCTGTCTGAATATAAGCTTGGGAACGTATCTATTACATAAGTATAGAGGGAATCCCTCTCATTTCTATATAATGTGCAGTCAACTACAAAATGGCATTCATCTTCAATATTATCTAGATTACAAAATTGGCAGATCCTTTGCTGTAGAGGAATGTGGTTGTGTCTTCCCTTGTCTATGTGGAGTTTGTGTGAACTTATCCGGAGTTTTGTGATGGCTGTTCTGTGTCGAATGTTTGTGATTCTTAGATATTCTTCCTCGTGGTATTTTTTTAGTAATCTGTATGTTCTTAATTTGTTGTTACGAATTTCTGCTGTAAAAGTTTGGAAATACATGCCCTTTAAACGTTGATCAAGGGATGGAATAATTTGTGAAGAATTTAAGACATACGACATACGGCGAATTCCATACGTAGGCAAAACCACACTCCTCTAGCGTATTTCGCACTCCCGAAGCCCAGCATTTAGTGCCGGATGCATCCAGTTCAAGTTGACACAATAGAGCGTCTGCTGAGAGACTATCAGTCAGTATGTACCTATTCAATGTCCAACGCTGACAGCCCCAACTAACGGAGCGCTCAGACCTTCAGCAGATAGTCTTTGGCAATACTAGTGCTGCATGAACAGAAACTAGAATAAGCAATCCTGTCCCAACATGCATATGCACACTTACGATTGGAGTTACAAGTTAACATACAAGCTGGCAATATCCCTCAAATTTCAGTATGCAGGCATTCACCAGATAGGAGATAACAAATATTAGGAGGGAATTGCTAAACCTTTCTGTATTCAAAACATGACAAACATTAACATTTGGTTTATTCATCTTTAGAATAGAAATGGTTCCTAGACAATATCCGATACTGACAGCTCCTGCCTTCGCAGTGCTGAGTACTATTGGAGCGACCTCCTGCCATTGTCGACGAGCTTCAGACGTATTTGTTGATCGCCGAAAGGGCGCCCGATTTTGAGATCAATACATTGAACACTAAAGTCAAGAAAATCATCACCTAACTATACAAATCCTATGAAATAACAGCCGGTTATTTACCATTTCAGCCGGACCATGTCCGACGCTATCGGCCCCAAATAACGGAGCTCTAAGTCCTCTCGGACCACACGGCTACCAAACCGTGGTTACCTTCACCTGTAACCCGGGATACGTGCTGAACGGCGTTACTTCTGCGACGTGCCAAGCTGACGGAACATGGAGTCATCCTGTTCCAACGTGCACACGTAAGATTCATCTGGCAATAATATGCACAAGCAATTTCAGTCAAAACTGAATTACTTAAACACCTACACCATAGTGGTGAGAATATGGGAAGGATATACATGTATGTTCCCTTTGCAAACAGACGTTTACTTACTACAGACGACGTCGTTCTATATATTTTGTACATAAAAATAGAATCTAATATCCATGTGTTTTAGGTTTGTGACCGAAGCGATCGATTCATCTATTAAACTTACGTATAGCTAATCAGCAAATACATGTAGCATATATAAGGTATTGTGTTTTTATTTTAGCTATAGCTAAAACATGTTTTTTTACAGGACTTGTTTTTGACAAGACTTGCTTTTTTTCCTTTCCATTGCAGCGGTCCAATGTCCGATTCTATCGCCTCCAATTAACGCTCAGAAAATGTTCCAATGAAATCAAATTACATATGTGATGAGTATATCACCCCTGTCATTTTATATAATAGCAATTTACATTGTGTTTGAGTTGCGCACAAAAACCCCTACCCTTTGACCAGGGTTGCGCTCTCGTCGCGACCGTACGGTCATCCACTTTTGTTAATCCTAATTTCATGGTTAAGATATGATGCAAGATCATTGAACACACACAAATCCTAGATTTCACCATTGTGGAATATAGTTTGCATTGAAATTTTCTTTTACTTTTAAATTTGAGGGAGAGGGAAGCTTTGTACTCATCCCAAAATTGTCTGTAGAAAAAAAATCAATTCCAAGAACTGCCGTTCATGATCAATGATTCATATGATTTTCAATTTTGCAGTTTCCGCATCTCTGAGCGTGAGCTCTTGTGAGAATCTGACTGTTTTTAACAGTGATTCCGGCAGCTTTGCCTCCCCGGGCTGGCCAGGGCAATATCCCCTGTCCATCAATTGTACCTGGCAGATCAATGTTAGTCCGGGAAAAGCTGTGCTCTTACGGTAAGACATCTCATTTAAATCAACAGTGACCAACGTCATTAATTTAATTCATCTGCATCCTAATTGAGCGTCTGAACTTGAAATAACAATTGCAACAACCATGTCCCATTCTTTTGTGCACATAATTGTTTTTTCAAACTCTTTTTGTGTTTAATTGTCTTTTGTATCATATTTTTCGTTTTTCTGAATTGCGCAGTAGGTTCCAATTGTAAATTGAACTTGGATTTTTGTTAGACTCCTAACGTAAAAAAAACTATTAAACTTGCATAGTACTAGATTTCTTTATTAAATACCCACCGTTAACGTAATAAATTAACGGTCTTTTTTTCTCTCAATACACAATAAACATATAGATTTGGCAGCTTTGACGTGGAGCATGGTGGCAGGACGTGTATATGGGACAGACTGCGAATCCATGATGGACCAAACATTTCGGCTCCGGTGATAGCAACTCTCTGTGGTTCGGCTGCACGTCCTGTCATGACAACAGGAAGTTCTGCCTTCGTGCAATTCTACAGCGACGAGTCGGTGACTGATTCTGGATTTGTCGCCAGCTTCACTGCCTGGAACGACACTTTTAGTGAGTATATTGATTCCACACTCTGCAAATCATGAGTTCACGTTTTTAAATCTTCAGTTTTAGTTTATTGCAAAAAGAAGCATATTGCAGCCAGATAGCTGAATTGCACGCTCATTTACATGTGAATTTTCATTACCAGTGAAACACATTGGTATGAAAAACATTGACTGAAGCTGAAAAGCAAAGCTCTTTCATCCATTTACAACCATTTATTTTTCATGAGCAGACGTATCGATGACCGTCTGTCATCTTTATCAGGGCAATACTAACTGGTTTACTGTGCACTGACGCTAGATGTTACTTGGTGCATAGTGCACTAAAGGTGTTACATAGTTACCTTCGCCAAGAAGGTTATGATTTCAGGGGCGTTCGTGTGTCTGTGTGTGTGTGTGTGTGTGTGTGTGTGTGTGTGTGTGTGTGTGTGTGTGTGTGAGCACGATAACTCAAGAACGCCTGGATGGATTGTCTTGATAGTTGGTAGATGGGTAGGTCTTGATGAGACGTGGAATTGATTAGATTTTGGGCCCCCTAGCGGCTTGTTATGGTACTGCAGCTGAACTTCCGGTTTTGATATCTCGTGATCTAGACAAGCTAGGCTGACGAAATTTGGATCGTAGGTAGCTCTTGTGATAGGGAAGAAGTGACGTGAGTTTGGGCCCCCTAGCTGCTTGCTCTGGAACTGCCACGGCGGTCGGTTGCTAGGCTAAAAGTCGCATTACTAGGGAGGTATCGGGTTACAGAACGTGTTCGAACGTGGCCGCGCGGGAGTCCCGGGTCGGCCCGGGGGCAACGGGTAAAATTTGAAAATAAACAAAAGTAATTGGAGAGTAAATACTCGTCTAAATAATATGTAATAAGTGATTTTGTTTACCTCAAATGTTATTCTTGCACTGCCTTTGCTCCACTTTGTGTGCATTTGTTTTCAAATGAGATCAATTTCGGATTTCAAAAAGGGTTCACGAGAACCAAACAACTGATTTTAAGAGGCCCTGAAAATTAAAAATATGGTTAGATTTTTGGATTTTTAGAAATATTACAGTAAATTTAAACTTTCTGTCTTAGGATTTTTTTATTTTTTAACTAAAACTCGACTTACAGTCAAAAGAAGAGCTAAAAATGCAGTGTTTTAACTTTAAATACCGATAATTCATAATCGCGGCCATATTTAAAAAATCCCTAAGACAGAAATCTGCGGAAATCATTCCTCTTCCAAACAAGCCCTCAATGAGGTAATTTGAGCGATTTTTGGGAATGGTTAAAATACCATGTTTGCACGCATGCTGTGCCACTTGGATATGGGGACCTGGATTTTATAACAGCGTCAACAAGAATTCTGACCTTCAAGGTCACCCACGATGACGGCAGAAGCTTCGTTACATGTTACATGTCCACAATAAAATCACGGCATAGATGTAATGTTTTGTAAACGGTTCATATTTGTGGAAAGGTGGATTTTTCCTGTTCCGTGGTTCCCAAGTAAAAAAGGGCTTGAAGTAGCCGGTTGTAGCGGCTTTACTGTAAATGACCGCGGGTAACCCCGGATCGAACGCCCGCTCTATTCGAATGACGTCATATAGAACAAGATTCGCGGGTTCGGGGGATTCGATCTCCATAGTAGCGGAGTGGGACTTTTGGGCCCAAATCTGACCATCGTGTGCAGGGGTGTTAGTTGAAAACTGTTTAAAGGCGGATAATTCAAGAACCGATTGATGGATCGTCGTGAGTTTTGGCATGTAGGTAGCTGAAGTGATGCATGACATAATAATATTACAATTATGCAAATATTAATGTAATTTGAATAATTAACGAGGAAATTCTATAAATCAGCTGCATTCCATGATAGGACTATTCAAGCTTGTGACATATGTAATTCAGAACGTCAGAAATACAGGCAGATATTGATTATGCAAATGAAGACTTAATTTGCATAATCAATGAGAAAATGTTATAATTACATATTGGTAATGTCTGGAATTTCATACTTGGGCTATTTGAAAGTTATGTGAAGGTGAACATAATTAAACATAACTTATTCAAATAAGGACCTCATTTGCATAATTTATGAGGACATGCTATAATGGCATGCATTGATAAGATAAGACTGTCTTCTGGTATAGAATATGATCAGCAGATATATTATTGATGCAAAATAGGATCCTATTTGCACAATCAGGGGGATTAATCTATTATTTCTTAGTCATAAAGGCTAACATCATTTGGCGAAGGTATGAGATCGTGGAACTCTAGTTCACAGTGCACTTAAGCTAGTTTTTTTATAAAATTATTTTTAAGGTTAGTTTTTTTAAACTAGCTTAAGTGCACTGTAAACTATGTAACACCGTTATGCACTATGTACCAAGTAACATCTAGTTTCAGTGTACAGTAAACCAGTCAGAATTGCCTCGATGAATTCGCAGATGACAGACGGTCATCGAAACGTCGGCTCTTGAAAAAATAAATCGTTGTGATGAAAGAACTTTGCTATTTAGTCGTCTACCAACCTGATGAAATTATTTACGGATTGACTAAAGCTGTTAAACAGCTACAAATCTAAAAATTACTCAAAACATAGTGGTGCTCAACATATTTAACATCACTCTAAGCATAATTCTGTGACCTATTACATAGAATAAAAATTTTTAGGTGCATGTAAATTGTTCATTACATGTGTTATGCCGGGGAAAATTCTCAATACAAAAAGCAAATAATCCGGAAAGTCAAGAAAGTTCCGTAATAACAGAATAATAAAGAAGTAATAAAACGCCTTTATTTTTCTTTTATCTTAACCAGTAAGTCATCGTACTGTTTGACGCCGTTTTAACAACTTTGTACGTACAAAAACTCTAGATACTACTTCTTCTTAAGGGGAAAAAAGTTGCAATGCAATGATACTACATGCTTGTCAAAGTACCTCAGTGTAGAGAAATGTCTGTGCTTAATTGTGTCGATGAGTTTCAACATCTTTTCGTTATTAATAAGCATTTGCATTTGGAAGAAAATGAATTTCGGCGTTTGGTAACTCCTAGCTTTAGCGTGTAAAGTACAGTAATGAAATATTCAATAAGATTTGCATTTAGAAACATTTGTTATATAGTATATTTGTTAAATATATATATATATATGCTATCATTATCATGAGAAGTATCCGCAAAGCGTCAAAAACATATATACATGCACCATTGTTAAAAACATAATTACTTTCAGCATGGCACACCACGACGGAGTACAGTTCATTTGCAGTAACGACACCAACACCCGGGCAATGTGGTAACCCAACTGTCCTTAGTGGCAACTCCGGCAGATTCACATCTCCGGGTTACCCAGGCAACTATCCGAACAACGCTTACTGTACTTGGCAGATATCCGTCAGTACTGGCTACATCGTCGCCATCCGGTAAGACCCTATTAAGGCCCATCTATCTACTAACAGAAATGTTGAGAATATTAGAAGAATGAATTTTGTTTACTCGTTTCTCTACCATAAAATACTATACAGGGCTGTCTATTCCACCCTCCTTCTGATAAAGGATATTATTCAGTAACGGTAAGACATACATGTATCAAAAAGCCCCTTTTGTACATGTTCAAATGGGTTGTTTTAGTCCAAATAGTTGCTATAGACATCTACTAATATTGAAACGGTCATGCTTTCTACAAATATTCCATGCATTGAAAGATAATCTCTCTTTACTTCCATGAAAAATGGAAGTATTGCTTATGGGGTGTCTGTCCGTGTGTCTGTGTTTCCGCATTTTTGTGGTCAGCATAACTTCAGAACGCCTTTATGGATTGAGATGGAATTTAATATGTTGGTAAGTCTTGGAAGACAAAGGTCAACGTCAAATATGGGCCTCCTGGTGGCTGACCTTAGCACTGCAGCAGAACTCCCGGTTTTTGTATCTTTTGCCCTGAACATGCTATGGTCTTGACTTTTTGGTGACAGATAGCTTTTCTTGTCAGAAATAAGTGGTGTGGGTTTGATCCCCCTAGCAGCTTGTTCTGGAAATTCAGGGGACTTTCTAGTGAATTCTTTTAAAACCTATAAATTCAGATAGGAACAACTTATTTTCATCACTTTTGGTATGTAGGTATGTAGAAAATGCAAATGGAGACTTAATATGCATAATTAAGAAGAGAATTCTATAATTACAGTGTTTTATATATAGTACTTTTTATACATGTAATCTATTCAATCTATGGCAAGTGAAACATCAACAGATGCCGATTATGCAAATGATGACCTAATATAGATATATAATTTTAAAATGTAGATGTCGTTTGCATAATTAATAAGGACAAAAACTATATTTCATGGAGGTATAAGATCTCCGAATTCTTGTTCTTATTTGTATCTATGTTTTCCATAGGTTCAGTGCGTTCTCTCTAGAGGATGGAATAAACTGTGGTTATGACTCTCTGGCTATTTATGACGGATCGAGCACAACTGCACCACGTTTGGCCAGACTATGTGGTTCATCTGCCCGAACAATCTCCACAACCGGCCGGAACGCCTTTGTGGTCTTCCGTACGGACGGGTCCGTGACAGAATCCGGATTTTCTGCCAACTTTACCGCTGAGACAGGAGGTACGATTGTTAGGTTCTTGGAATATTTATAACAGAAAAATGTTATAACTTAAAATTAACGAGGTCGTTCTATATCTTTAATAGTAATAGACCCTGATATGCAATTTTTGTAGATATGCAAAGACAAATATCCATTCATTACCTAGACATATATATATCCTACACACACACACACACACACAAACACACACACACACACGCGCAGACACAAACACACAGATACACACACACACACAAACACACAGACACACACACACACACACACACACATATACTACTGTACAGACACACTACTGCAAACACACACACACACACACACACACA